TCCATTCCTGGGCCACATTTTGAATGCTGAGGCAGGCTGATGCTGCGGCCGAGGCAGGCTGAGGCTGAGGCAGGCTGAGGCTGAGGCCGAGGCTGAATGCAGACTGAGGCTGAGGCTGAAGCAGACTGAGGCTGAGGCTGAGGCAGGCTGAGGCTGAGGCTGAAGCAGGCTGAGGCTGAGGCTGAGGCAGGCTGATGCTGAGGCAGGCTGAGGCTGAGGCTGAGGCAGGGTGAGGCTGAGGCAGGCTGAGGCTGAGGCCGAGGCTGAAGGCAGACTGAGGCTGAGGCTGAAGCAAGCTGAGGCTGAGGCTGAGGCAGGCTGAGGCTGAGGCAGGCTGAGGCTGAGGCTGAGGCAGGCTGAGGCTGAGGCTGTGACTGCGACTGCCGTTGCCACTGCGACTGTCATCGCGAATGCGACTACGACTGCGAGAACAGCACAATTCTACAACTGGATTCTCATCTGAATCTTAAAGGGAATGCTTCCAGATATGCTCCTACACATCGCTGTTAGGTTGCTTTGCCGATGATAGGCTGAAGGAGGCTGAAGGCGGCTGGAGGCTGAGGCAGCGTGAGGCTGAGGCTGAGGCAGCTGAGTCTGATGCTGAGGCAGGCTGAGGCTGAGGCTGAGGCTGATGCAGCTGAGGCTGAGGCAGGCTGAGGCTGAGGCCGAGGCTGAAGGCAGACTGAGGCTGAGGCTGAAGCAGGCTGAGGCTGAGGCTGAGGCAGGCTGAGGCTGAGGCTGAGGCAGGCTGATGCTGAGGCAGGCTGAGGCTGATGCAGGGTGAGGCTGATGCAGGCTGAGGCTGAGGCAGGCTGAGGCTGAGGCAGGCTGAGGCTGAGGCCGAGGCTGAAGGCAGACTGAGGCCGAGGCTGAAGCAGGCTGAGGCTGAGGCTGAGGCAGGCTGAGGCTGAGGCTGAGGCAGTCTGAGGCTGAGGCAGGCTGAGGCTGAGGCTGAGGCTGATGCAGGCTGAGGCTGAGGCAGGCTGAGGCCGAGGCTGAAGGCAGACTGAGGCTGAGGCTGAAGCAGGCTGAGGCTGAGGCTGAGGCAGGCTGAGGCTGAGGCTGAGGCAGGCTGATGCTGAGGCAGGCTGAGGCTGAGGCTGAGGCTGATGCAGACTGAGGCTGAGGCAGGCTGAGGCTGAGGCCGAGGCTGAAGGCAGACTGAGGCTGAGGCTGAAGCAGGCTGAGGCTGAGGCTGAGGCAGGCTGAGCCTGAGGCTGAGGCAGGCTGATGCTGAGGCAGGCTGAGGCTGAGGCTGAGGCTGATGCAGGCTGAGGCTGAGGCAGGCTGAGGCTGAGGCCGAGGCTGAAGGCAGACTGAGGCTGAGGCTGAAGCAGGCTGAGGCGGAGGCTGAGGCAGGCTGAGGCTGAGGCAGGCTGAGGCTGAGGCTGAGGCAGGCTGAGGCTGAGGCTGATGCAGGCTCAGGCTGAGGCAGGCTGAGGCTAAGGCTGAGGCTGATGCAGGCTGAGGCGTGAGGGCTGAAGCCGGCTGAGCTGAGGCAGGCTCAGGCTGAGATGAGGCGGAGGCTGAGGCAGGTGATGATGAGGCAGGATGAGCCGAGGCCGAGGAGGCAGGCAGACTGAGCGCGAAAGCAGGATGAGCTGAGGCTCAGGCTGAGCTGAGGCTGGGGCCACATTTTGAGCGCTGAGGCAGGCTGAGGCGAGGCGAGGCCGGAGGCTGAAGGCAGACTGAGGCTGAGGCTGAAAGCATGCTCGAGGCCTGGCTGAGGCTGAAGCAGGCTGAGGCTGAGGCTGAGGCAGGCAGAGGCTGAGGCTGAGGCAGGCTGATGCTGAGGCAGGCTGAGGCTGAGGCTGAGGCTGATGCAGGCTGAGGCTGAGGCAGGCTGAGGCTGAGGCCGAGGCTGAAGGCAGACTGAGGCTGGGGCTGAAGCAGGCTGAGGCTGAGGCTGAGGCAGGCTGAGGCTGAGGCTGAGGCAGGCTGATGCTGAGGCAGGCTGAGGCTGAGGCTGAGGCTGATGCAGGCTGAGGCTGAGGCAGGCTGAGGCTGTGGCCGAGGCTGAAGGCAGACTGAGGCTGAGGCTGAAGCAGGCTGAGGCTGAGGCTGAGGCAGGCTGAGGCTGAGGCAGGCTGAGGCTGAGGCTGAGGCAGGCTGAGGCTGAGGCTGTGACTGCGACTGCCGTTGCCACTGCGACTGTCATCGCGAATGCGACTACGACTGCGAGAACAGCAGAATTCTACAACTGGATTCTCATCTGAATCTTAAGGGGAATGCCTCCAGATATGCTCCTACACATCTCTGTTAGGTTGCTTTGCCGGGATAATGTTTTTGTTTTTGCGATTTTCGTTTTGAATGGAGAGGCCTTACGGCCGGTGCCGCCGACCCTGAACGACGACGACGACGACGACGACGACGACGACGACGACGACGACGACGGAGGCGAATGACGACGAAACCGACGGCGGCGGGGGCGGGGGCGCCGGCGGCGGCGGCGTCGGCGCCGGCGCCGGCGGCGGCGAAGACGACGACGACGACGACGCCGACGCCGACGCCGACGCCGACGCCGACGCCGACGCCGACGCCGCCGCCGCCGCCACCGCCGACGACGACGACGACGACGACGACGACGACGACGACGACGACGACCCTCAACGACGACGGCGACGACGACGACGACGCCACCGCCGACGCCGACGCCAACGCCGACGTCAACGCCGACGCCGACGCCGACGCCGACGCCGACGCCGACGCCGACGCCGCCGCCGCCGCCACCGCCGACGACGACGACGACGAGCGCTCTTGGGGGCCTCTTGAAGGTAGTTTTGGAGCCTCTTGGGAGGCTCTTGGGGGCCTCTTGGGAGCCTCGTGGGGGCCTCTTGGGGCTTCCTGGGGGTCTTTTGGGGGCCCCTTGGGGCCTCTTGGGAGGCTTCTTGGGGGCATCTGGGGGCCTCCTGGGAGTCTTCTCAGGCCGAGGGCTCGAAATGTCTGTTCGGGTCCTCCGCCTGGGCTCCCTCTTGGAGCCGTCTTGGGGGGCCTCTTGGGCTGTCTTGGAGGCCTGTTGGGCGGTGTTGGGGCCCTCTTGTGTCGTTTTGGGGCCCCCGTTGAGGCCTTCTGGGCGATCTTGTCGGTCTCTTGGGCTGTTTTGGAGAGTCGGGAAGCCGACAAGGCGAGAACGCCAAAGCCTTTCATAAACTGCAGGAGCATCTGTGATTTTGTCCCTTGGGGCCCTTTTGGGAGTGCTCTTGGAGGCCACCTGAGGCGTTTTGAAAACCTCTGGAGCCGTCTGGGGAGTCTGGAGGCTACTTTGGCGTCCTTGTTCGATAATTCTGCGATTCGGGGCTCTCGAGGACCGTCACGGGGGCCTCTTTCGGCACTCTTGCCGCGTCTTGGGGCTTTTCTGGGCCCCGCAACCGCCCGAGGGGGGAATGCGTAACTGGGGGGCGACCCAACCTCCGGGACCCCCCCCTGGGGCCCACCCCCTGGGTGTCAACCCTTCTGGCCCCCCACCACCCTCGCGGGGGAGGGATCAATGGGAGGGGCTTCCCTTCGGCTCGGCTACGACGTTGCTGGATGTCGGTTTGGCTGGCGCGCCCAAGGAGGAGGGCCCAGGGAAAGAAGACGGGTGACGGAGACGACGATGGACGGAGACGACGAGGCGACGACGGAGACGAAGACGACCACGCAGACGACAAGGAGACGACGGAGACGACACGACGACAACGACGACGACGACGACGACGACGGCGACCAACGGAAGAGCGTCTTCCACACGCCGACAGGGTCGGCGGATCTCCTTTCGCAGCTACTACAGAGCGAAGACAGAACTAAGAAACACGGGCACACAACGACAACGCAAAGCACTGTTTAGCTCGAGGCCTGGCGAGCGAGCATCGAGGAGGTGCTTTGACGCTCTTGGGCGCATTTGGGGGTGGTGTTCGGAGATGAGTGGGGGGTCCAGAGGGGTCCTCTTCCTCGAGGGGGTGGCGGCGTCCAAGAGGTGGGTGGGATTCAGGGCTCTGGCTAAACGGTGTTTGTGCGATTTCGTAGGCCGTGTTCGTTTTGAGTATGTTTCGCAGCAAAGGGCAGAACGAAAACAGCACAACGGACAACGAACACGACACAAAAACGAGAGGCACTTTTTAGCTCGAGGCCTGGTGGGGACTGGGCTGCGGTAGATGTGACTCCGGGCGCAGCAATGGACCATAACCACAGCTGAGTGGATTCTGCGGGATGGCCCCTCGGGAGAGAATCCACCGACCTCGACATGAGCAATCAGGGTGTAGCTGTGGTCGATTTGGCCGTCTGGGACGCCCACATCGACCACAACCAGTACGAAGCTGGTCTTGGTGTTCTGATAGGTGTTGGCATGCGCAGGACATCCCCCAGGGTGTGTGTCCTTGATGTGGTTGTGGTCGCCTGCTGCCCCCGCAATATCGTGGCCAGGACCGTGATGTCTCCCAGATGTCAGGGCTCCCTCTTCTTTATTTTATGCTTAAGTCGGGCATGTCCCTCTACAGGCGGAATATTCAAAGATAGTCAAATAATAGTCTGTGCGCGTTTTTTTTGGATTATTTCTGCCCATTATTGGTTATTTTGGGCTAATTTTCAGATTTCCTCCAACAGCGGCCTGTAGGAGGACATGCCCGACCTAATCTTATGTTTTCTCCATCCGATGCGTACTATTCAGTTTCATTTTCTTTCAACACACCCCCGAATCCCACTTGTCCGCGCACATGCCTTGGGCCATGTTTAGGGGAACGAAAGATGATAGAAGCATAGCATAAAAACTCGGAGGTCCGCGCGGGTCTCTCGGATCGGCGCTGGACCCCCCTGGTGGCGCTTCTGGCGCCGCCCTTGGCGCGCTCCACGTGCCAGGGAGGAGGGTCCAGCGCCGATCCGAGAAATCCGCGCGGACCTGCGAGTTTTTATGTGTAAGTCATTATTCGTTCCCTTAATGTTGCGCGCCCCCTCCTCCTGGCCCCCCTCTTTGGCGCACCCCTTCTCTGGGGGACCCCACACGCCTCCGGCGCCCTACTTCCGAGGCCTCAGCGGCGGCTGCGCGGGCGCGGGAGGCACCGAGATCTGCCCTGCTTCGCTTCCTTGACGTCGTCGAAGTTCTCTTCGTCCTCTTCCTCCTCGCCTCCGTCAGCCTCGAGCCAGCTCGTGAGCACATACGCGCGGAGACGGCAGCAGCCCAGCCTCTCGGCCTCGCGTTTTTTCCACCTGCGCGAGCGCAGGTGTTGCCGCTTCGAGCCCCCCGCATGGTGCGCCCCAGCAAGGCGAGAAAGGGATCTTAAGCCCTACGACGGGAAAGTCGAGTGCACACCAGCACAGCCACAGTTTCTCTCGCAGCCAGTGCCACTGTATTTGGTTTCCCCAGGTCGATGGATGGTAAGAGCGCTTCCGCCTCGATCCTCAAAGATCGGGGCTCGGGGTTGTGGAAAAGTCGTTCGCTGAGCTGCTCTGATACGCCCTTGTTGAAACACAACAGCCGTGCTCATAACGTCCGTGTCAACACGCTGCGTATTGGCTCGGCACGTTGGCCCACCTTTTGGCGAACGTATCGCGCCAGACCTACGTGTTCAGTCTGCGTGTTGAGCTCCGTGCCAACACGCTACGTGTTGCGTGTTGCGTGTTGCGTATCGGGGCAGGTCAGTCCAGGGGGCACAGCCAGCGGAGATCATTCAAGGTCGAACGTTTCACGCTGTGTCAGAATCCAGGGCCGACGTCGTCAGGGCAGGAGTTCGCAGCTCCTGATTGGCATCGTTGCATTACGCTTTCCACAGTCTCGAGTCCACAGCCTCGGCGCCGCGCACATGGAGCACCTTGCTATCGATTGGCATGTTGTACGTTTTCAAGCTGCGTATTGAGCTCCGTGGCAACCCGCTACTGGTTGCGTGGTGCGTCTCGGGGCGGCTAAGGTCGTTTGAGCTTTTCGGGCCTCTGGGTCTGCGTGTTGGCTCGGCACGTGTTGACCCACGTTTTGGCGAACGTATCGCGCCAGACCTACGTGTTCAGTCTGCGTGTTGAGCTCCGTGCCAGCACGCTACGTGTTGCGTGTTGCGTATCGGGGCAGGTAAGTCCAGAGGGCGCAGCGGAGATCGTTCAAGGTCGAACGTTTCACGCTGTGTCAGAATCCAGGGCCGACGTTGTCAGGGCAGGAGTTCGCAGCTCCTGATTGGCATCGTTGCATTACGCTTTCCACAGTCTCGAGTCCACAGCCTCGGCGCCGTGCACATGGAGCACCTTGCTATCGATCGGAGTGTACACCAGACGCGCTGCCGCTCGAGCGGTTCACCCACATCAGCTGCGTCTCTTGGAGAAGAGGGCCGCCCTGTGTGAGACCACTCCGCGGGCTTCACCATCAGATCAGGGGGTCGGGACCCGTTCCCAGCCCTCGGGGCTTCTCAGAAACGGATCTGGGACGAAAAGGTCCGGCCCGTGGGTGCCGCATTCGTCCCGAACGGCCGCGGCCGCCAGAGGGCGGACTTTCTGGCCCGAAAGTTGCCAAGGGTTCACGACGAGGTTGAAACCCCCAGCTTCGAGAATCGAGGGTCCACGCATTCTCACCCTCGTGACCACCCCTCGTCGCCACGGCCGAACGCGGCTCCAAGAGTTGCTGAGTGAGGGCCCTGGGAGGGGAGGGGAGGGGTCCGTGGTCAGGGTGGCGTTCCTGCCTTTGTGCTTGCGTTGGGCAGGTCGCCGCTCACGCCTTCCAGGGCCAACAGTGTTTCCTGTGAGGGCGAGTGGGGACGGGCATGCCATGCTCGTGCGTTCGAGCTGGCCAGCTTGACCCCCCCTCGCCCCTCCTCCCCCCCTACGCCCACAATAGCACAATCTGAATATACTTCTCTCCTCCCCCCCCCGAAAGTGGTAAATAGTTGCCCGCCCCCTTCCGCGTATCTGTTCACACGCAGGATTTCAATCATTGTTGTTTTTGTTAGTATGTGTCTTCCCACTCCGACGCTTTCGCTCCCCCTCCGCGTCTGTTTTTGGCGCATGCTGTGCACGAGCTGTGCTTTCTTGTGCGTTCGCGTATTGTTTTTGTCCCACACGATGTGCACGAGTTGTGTGTGTGTGTGTGTGTTTATGTCCGTTTTCAACTCCCTGGCCTCTCCAGACCAGCCCAGTGCTCTCCAAGACCGGCCACGTACCCTCCAATATACTCGGTGCCATACCAGGCCATTGCATGCATTGTACTGCCATGTTGCGTGTTGCTATGCGGTGCCATGTCTGGCGCCGCAATGCGAGGATATGCATTGCTTCGCTACACAATGCCACGCCCTGACATTTCATGCTACGCTCTGTCGTGCTTCTGCAGCAGGGTACTTTCTGCTCCCAGCGCGTTCCGAAAAGCCTTCTCTGGAACGCGCTGGGTCCCGACAGCCACCTATGACAGTCATTGCCGGGCTAATTTCGTTGTGCGTTGCGCTGTGAGTGTGCTTTTCTATAGGCGTGTTGTGCGCTGCGCCTTACTGCGCGTGAGACGTAGCAGGCATGGAATGGGCTTCCTCTACGTGCTAGTTCATGGAGCAAACATGCTATACCGTGCTGTGCTACGCTATGCATCGCGTGCCCTGTCAGGATCCGTGTCCTCTTCGACGTTCGATTGTGCGAACACAGAGGGCATTACGACATGGCAAAGGATGAGAGGGAGGGGCAGGACGTCAGATGTGACGCCAGCTCGCATAGCTTGACCCCTCCGCCCTCCCCCCAGCCCTCTACAATTACAGAATATGAATACTACTCTCCTCTCTCCCCTGCTGTCCAGAGAGTCTCCCGTCCTCTTCGTGTATTGTTTTTTACACAGGATTTCAGTATTTCTCTTTTTCCAAAGTGTTTTGTCAATTAGGTCTTGCCTGGTTCTTCCAATGTGGTGCTCCCGCTGCAGCGCCGCCCTCATTTCCGATCATCGGTCTTTCAAAATCGTGTTCCCGCTGCAGCGCTGGCCTCGTTACCGCGCCTCTGGATGGCACTTGGCATTCGAAAGCGTCCACATCGGGCAGGCACGGTTGCGGGGGACATGGAGCGGGCATTTGACAGGCCTTGTCCTCTCGTAGACGGGCCATTTACCCTCTAAGTCATCTGGTGCCATGCCACGGCATGCAATGCGATGCTGTGTTGTGCAACGCTGTGCGATGCCATGCTTTGCGTTGCTATGCTTTGTGATGCAATGATTCACCACGCAACGCCACGCCATGCTATGACATGCTAAACTCTGCCATGCTCTTCTACTCCATGCTATTCCATCCATCGCGTACCCTCTTGGGATCGTTGCCCACCTCGACATCCGACGGTGCGAATAGATCTGAGATCTTCGCCATGGTAAGGGATGGGAGGGAGGGGTAGGACGTCAGATGTGACGCTGGCGCACCTGGCTTGTCCCCCCCCCCTCCCCCCTGGTGCTCTCCGTGACCCCCGTCGCCCCTCCCCCTCCGCAGCCGGGCGCGGGGCGTCCAGGGGGGCGGGGAGGGGGGGGCAGGGGCGCCCCCCCCGCCGCGCCTTCCCGCCCCGCCTGGCGAGGCGGCGTCGCCCACGCGCCCGGTGGCCTCCACGCACGCGGTCTTCCTGAGGGCGGTGGGCATGCTGGGCGCGGCGGCAGGCGAGAGGGGCGGCGGCCGGCGATGGCGCGAGGGCGGGGGCGGGGGCGGGCGGCGAGAGTCGAAGAACGAACAGCGGCATAAACATAAACTTTCGGAGGTCCGCGCGGATTTCTTGGATCTTCGCTGGGGCTCCCTGGCGGCGCCTCCGGCGCCGCCGCTGGCGCGCTCCGCGCGCCAGCGACGGGGGGCCAGCGCGGATCCATGAAATCCGCGCGGAGCTCCGACAGTTTGTGTTTATGTTGTTGCTTGCTCTTCTAAAGAGGCGCGCGCTCATGCACGCACACTTCTTAGGCGGTCGCGGCCTCGCAGGCAGCGACGAGGCGGAGAAGGTCAAGCACAGCGGCCGAGACCTAAGCCGCAGCGCGCCCGGGCTGGTTCAGCGGGGGAGCAGCACATACCCATTTGGGCGTGGATAGCGAGGAGCAAGGAGAGCACAGACTAGACGCACACACGAACGCACACACATACACACGCGCACGCACACACTTTTTACGTCGGCGGCTAGGCAGAGTCGCTGCGCTGGCGATGAGGCGTAGGCGGGATGCACGGGGGAGGGAGACACGCACACACACGCACACACACACACGCACGCACGCACACGCACACGCACACGCACACGCACTCACGCACACGCACACGCACGCACACGCACACGCACACGCACACGCACACGCACACGCACACGCACACGCACATGCACACGCACACGCACACGCACATGCACACCCACACCCACACCCACACCCACACCCACACCCACACCCACAGCCACACCCACACCCACACCCACACCCACGCACGCGCACGCACGCACGCACGCTCGCACGCACGCACGCAGACACACAAACAAACAAACAAACAAGCAAATACACACGCACACATGCACACGCTCACACATACACACACACACACGCGCACGCGCACGCGCACGGGTAGGCGCACACACAGCGCACACACTAATACAGACACTGACACACACAGACACAGACACAGACACAGGCACACACACACATACACACACACACACACACTCGTACACATACAAGTACACATACACATACACATACACATACACATACACATATACATATACACATACACACATACGCGTGCACGCACACAGGCGCATACACATACACATACACGAACACGTACAAGCATACATGCACACGCGCACATCATATTTTAGAGCAGTGCATTGCTGTAGCGGCGGAAGTGGCTCTGCACCCCTGTGTAACCTACGAATCATTGGTGAGTGGTGGTGATCATTGGAATTGACCCTTGTTTCCGCGATTCATTCCGACCAGTCAGTACAAGTTCCCCCCGGGCAGAGTGCAGCGGGTATCGTCCAGGAGCTGGACCCGAGCCCAGGCCTTGGCATCAGCAGCGGCCTGGAGGCAAATGGGCACACGGACCCCAAGGCTCCTCGTTATCGTGTTTCTCTTGGTGCCACACTGGTTAATGATGCTGTCCGATCTTATGTGGATGTCAAGCCCGCAGTCTGGGATACGGTTAAAGGGGGCCCTGACTCAGTCCAGCCGCCATCGTGCGCAATATGCGCGCACAGTGGTTTCTGCAGGGTGCGACCCAGGTGCTGCTAAGTCGAATTTTGTGGAGAAGGCAGCCGAGGCACCCCTGGCGGGACAGCACCGCCTCCAGAAGGCCAAAGATGCAGCCAACAAAGCCCGTGCCTACTCGCAAGTGCAGCACGCAATGGTCACGGCATTGGAAGCAGACTTGGTGAAACCTGAGGAGGCAGCAGCCCAAGCACGGGGTGCATCCACAACGCTCCAGCCAACCGACTTCGCCCCTTTGCTCGACGAGTCCGAGAGGCCCTGACCGCGATCAGTGGCGCGAGCACTCCAGAAAAAGGCTTTTCGGAGAGGCGTCTCATGTTTTGCAAAACTTGGTGTCGGACGCGGGGAAGGTAGCCCTTGCCCCTGCGGCATCCTCAGCGGCTCAAACCCGGCATGCTCCAGCATGTGGAGCCATTCGGAATACGGGCGCGGCCGCGCCCGCAGATGCTGATGGCGCAGATATTTTGTTTGACCGTTTGATGGTTGAAGAACCAGGAGGGTTGCTGGCAGGAACTTCCAAGCATGAGATCACACAGCGGTCCCGCGAGGCCTTCGAGTTGCTCCGCGAATGGGCCGCGCGGGGGAAGACGAGTTCCTAGCCCAACTGCCAGATGTCGCACATGACTAGCTCCCGCAATGAATGCGCATGCGCATCACGGTTTTCTTCGCGACGCGTTTCGGCGTCCCGATTCCTGCGGTGCAAGGGACGAATTTCACCATCGATTGCAGTCGTGAGGTGGCACTCGAACTTGCCAAGACGGGGTGGCATGCCAATCTATTCCTGGCAGCTAATGCAGCACAAGGGCGACCTGGGCATAGCGGTGTGCTGCAGTATGCGCCCCGTGCAGGGACGGGGCAGTTCGACGGTGCTGGCAGCTCGGTCCTCGTCGACGGGCGGGCTGTGTTCGCGTGTCACGCTGGCTTTGCACTGGGGGAATCTTGCTCGTTGGTCAACATGTGCCTGCATGCGGGTATGAGGGTTTTGGCGCATAGTGTGTCCCTTCTGCAGCGGGTGGCCAGCATGCCCTAGGTGCTCGGGCGGCCTTTCCATCACCAGTGGTGACTTCAATGTGGAGCCCCACGTCCTCGAGCCCTCGAGCATTCATCGTTTCTCAGCCAGCGTGCTGCCCCAGGTGGCGGCGCGTGTCGGCCGGCGCAGACTGCGAACGATTTCTCCGACATGTCAAACCGTTTCAAAGTTGCAGCAGCAGAGGTCTTGCATGATTGGGGGCTCGGGCCCCGCCGACCCGCGCGCCCCGCCGTCGGCGGCGCGCAAGTTGACAACCTCGTCGAGATCGCGCGGGTGCCGAAGGCCTTCCCTGCCACCTTTCCCGTCGGGGCGCATCGCGCGCGATTTCGCCGCCGACTGAGGCCGCCTGCAGGACGAGCTGGGGCCCGATGTTTCAGCGGAGCGTCGCGAGAGATTTCCAGCGGGGCCGCAGAGTCTCATTTACGTGGCCTCTCAGGGCATGGCGCTGACCAGCGCGGCGGAGCCGAGCGCGGGCGCCAGCGCTGGGGCGGGCCCGCGCTGGCCCGCCAGCTGCGCCGCGCACGCCCGCGATCAGCAAGCAGCCCATGCGGTTGGAGGGCGCGGCCCGGGCTGCGGCTGACCACCTTATTCGTTGAGAGCGAAAGCAGCGCGCTACGGATCGACGGCAGAGTTTGCCCCCTGCCTCAGCAATTTGTCGCGTGGTCAGTCTGCTCCGCAGCTGCGCGTGGAACTGCGCGAGCGACGCGGGCATGGCGCGCCTGTCTTGCAGCGCGAGGCAGATCGCCGAGGGCGCCGCCCCGCGCGACGTCCAGGAATCTCGGCTCGGACGGAGATTGGGTCAATGTCCAAGCTGGCCAAGGCCACTCCGCTCGTCGCGCGGCCGCCGCAGAATTGAACGCCGCCACCGCGTCTGGTATGGGAGGGGCGCTCACGGGTGAGATGGGCGCGGCGAACGCCTGGGCCGCGCAACGAAGCGGGCGCTGGAGGACCAGCGCAGCGCCGCCAGCAGTGGATTGATCCGCCGACATCGACCAGCGACCAGAACGACCCACCGCTGTTCAGCCCAGAGCAGCCTGTGCACCCTCAAAATTATCGGAGGAAGTTGCTTCGTAGCGCTGGGCGATGCTTGGGTGGGGGCCTCCAGCTGATCTTCTGGCACTCACTGCAGAGCGGCGCGCGTGGCCTGTCCCCATTGACCAGCGGGCTTCCATTCCCAAGAGACACGGAGGGGTCCTGCCAATTTTTTGGCCCACGGCTTTCGCGGGATTCCACGGGCGCCCCGGGCGCCCCATCGCAATCATGTGGCAAGAGGTTCGCAGCCGCGCATGCTGGCGGGCATCAGCAGGCTAAAGCTGCGATCGAGCAGTCTTGCATCAGCAGGCATGGGGTGAAGGGGCGGCAATGGAGCAGCCCGACGATCCCCGGGGTCACCAGGGGCGCGGTTTCCGGCGGTTGGGTCCGTGGAAAGCGATCGAACATATCCATCGCAATTATCTCTTGTGGCCCGCGCGCAAGTTCCGGGATCCACGCGCGCGCGTCACCGCCGCGGGCTGTTTTTCTGTCGTGGGGGTCGATCGGATTAATGTTTTGGCGGTGGGTCGCAGGGCGCGTCAAATTTCGCGGCGGCAACATGTCGCGCGTGCAGCGTAATTTGGGCATGCGGTTGAATGCCACAAGATTTAAACATTCACGTGGTGTATATTTCGGGGTGGCGTCTAGAATTCCCGGGGGGGGGTCCGTCGTTGCCGCGCGCCGCCGCCGCGCTGCCGCGCGGTGCTTGGGAGATTCATTCGCGACCGAATGCGGCCGACATCTGGTCGCACGACCACGCGGCAAGTGCTTGCACTTGGCGGGGGCAGGCAGCGGCGCCCCTGTCTGGGCGGTCGCGCGCAGGATGTGTCCCTTTCCTATGGCCGCCTGGTGGCGGCGTATATATCGGCGCCCCGCGCAAGCTGAGATGTCCGCCATTGTTGCTCGAGGTGCTGGCTGGTACTTGCAACGGGGCCGGCGCGCTGGCACTTGATGGCGCAGTCATCATGTAGCAGCCGTGCGCCGGGCAATTTTGCAGGCGGCTCACTCGAAGACCACGTTCATGAAGTTTTACTTGTCGGGATCTCTTGATCGAGTGGTTCAGGCGTGCTCGACGGCTTCCCCAGCCATTGCAGTCGATGGCATGGCATGGTGCTTCGGCGGCGCGGGGGGGGGGGGGAAGCTGGGGTCCTTGTGAATGGGCTCGTATGCAATTGTCGCGATGCCTAGCGTCCTCGACTTCGCCGGGGCGCGATCTGCAGGCCAAGCACAAGAAGGCAGCGCGTGCCCGGCCGGTCGAGCACGCGCGCGACCTGGGCAGCCCGCGCCTCGCTCGAGATAACATCTCTGGGAGCAGGCGCAGCGGAAGGTGGGTGCCGCGCTGGACGACGCCACCGAGGTG